TCCGATCGACTAATCATCGTCATTTAATCCTAAAAACGATCGTTTCGCCAGCCACGAACGTGATGTGCCAAACAATTTTTATATGTCTAGTAAAAACGCGTGGAAACCGGTAATTAGAAGTCCGTTGGCCGAGTATAAGCATATCAGTAACGTTATCGAACGATTAATTTCCTTCTTCCATAGCAACGGAGTTTTTGTATACAAATTCAAAGTAAAATGGAGAAACGTGACTTCCGTGCTAGTCGCAATGACATCGGACGCACGATTCTTGAAAATTCTTTGGCACAGAAAGCTGCAATATTTTGTTCTTTGATCGATCGGTATCGTTTCAATGGAAGATACAACGAAATACCACTTGCCGTTCCTCTTTGAATTACGCTCGTTGAACGCGAAGAGATTTCTCGAGATATCTCGGCACTCGTTTCATTATCGAACCGAATTTTCGTCGCACTTGCGTACTTTGTTACGAGTATCCTCGTTGTTCGTTCGGTTAAGGTTCATTTTCACGTCGAGTCCGACAGAGCGTACAAATCATAAGAGCACCGATGATCGCAACGGATTCGTACCCCGTATTTCGCGTTCGAGTACTCCGAGTCGCCATTTTAGCGACGTCGACGAAACGAGGCAGCAAGCGTAGCAATATTAGCAACGGATTAAATCGTGCCATGCATAAAACGACAGATCAGGAGAGTCCAGGATTCATCCACGGTGAAACCGAGTCTAAAAATCGCATTGTTCAGTGGACCCCAAGTTAGATTAGTAAGATAAAAAGGAGAGCGGTCGAAAATAGCGTGGCCATTTTAAGGCCAAGCGAACGGGACGGAGAAGAAGGAGGTAACAAAAGAAAAGAGACAAAGGGAAACGAAACGGGTTAAAAGATCGTTCTGCGACATCACGATTATAGGTATGACAACGCGTACGAGAGGTATAAGCGACTATACTCCGTTTATATGAATACTCGAGCGTGAACTCGTCTATGCGCGTAACGAAAAGGGATGATGGTAAATGAAAAAGAAGAGAAGGGAAAAATATAGGACGAGGCCGCGGTCTTTCTCGAGTGTCCTCGTTCGTGCTTTTTCGTCTTCACCATCGAGGATATTAGCGACAAGAGAGAAAACAACCTTAGGATTAGCGTAGACCAGCAGAGAAGTAAGTTTAGCGACGATAAACCTCGCCAACAGGAGATCTTTTTTCGAAGGCCTCGAGACATTCAGAGGCATTGTATTTGTGTCAGCGTACATTTTTAATGGAAAAAAAACACAAGATTATATTAATGATAAAATAAAATTATTAAGAAAAGATGGAGAAAAAAACATGGTAACATTGGTAAGCTGTAAGAGGGAATAAACGAAGCTCGCGAGTTCCGCGATAGATCAGGGCAAGACGAAAGACAGGATGCGTAGCTAACGACGGAAACGATGAAGTCGTTTCGCGAATTTTCGAATGCACATACATTTCTACGTTACGAACCACGTCGTCGACCAATCGTCTCGCGGAACACGCGAACCGATGGCTTTTAAGGAACATATGTGGCATGTGATTGTATGTTGTTTCAAATAAAACATTGTTGTTTTGTATACTACATACGGTTATCGCAGTTTTCATTTCTCCATCTTCGTTATCCTCGGAGTTATAAGAAATCGTCCCCTTTGTGTCCTACCTACTTTTATATTTTAACTTAATTTGGTATAACTTCAGAAATTAAGAAGTTTCGAAATACAGAAGGGAACGGGAGTACCTAAATTTTAATTTCCTGTTAGAAATTCACGATCGTACACAGATTTTAAATAAGCTATGCAAATTGACGACTATGTGACTGGATCAACCAGTCACGCCTTAGAAACTAGTACGAGAAAGTAAACAGCGCATTTATATAAAAGAAATCTATAAATTATTTCACGTACGATTAACGTGAGATACCTAGTACGTAAACTTGTAACAGAGATAACAGAAGAAATCTAACTTCTTTAATACCGACATAGATCTCGGTAAGGTTGCTCGCTACCTTGTTGATCGCGAAATCGCATCTGCTGTGTTCACTTCGAGTTACCAACACGTTTTCTACACATTACCAACAAGCGGTTTCTATCATCAGTTGATATTAGAACAGTCTCAGGATCAACTACGGGTTGTAAAGCAACCTACCTTATTGAACACAGATAGCACGAGGACAAAGTTGGTCGATATAAGACATAATTAAGTACAATTTATCGAATGAAAATTCGTTACCTCCGATTCTAAAATATAAAGACTAAACAGTAAACTACGAATATTACCTATCGAAGAATTGAAATGAGAAAAGCACGAATGTTAATTTACAGCTCTCTAAACGTACAGAAATAAACAGTCGATCCTCCTAGTCCGAGTTAAAATATCCCCACTCTTTATCGCAATTAATTCGTAGAAAAAGAGCGTGGAGAAACGTTACCGCGCAATTACTTCTCGATAAAACACCACCACATCCCTCGTTGCCTGTTCTCCTTAATTAATCCGATTCTCCAACCATCCATTTCCGATCTACACATTTACAACTTCACCTCTGGTGCAGAGTAACCATTTCTCTTCGCCGTGCATCTCAGACCATCGACCGTCTCTTACAACTGATTCGCCAATATCGTTAATTAAACCCTCGCTATCCTCCTCTGCTCGATCATTTCGAGTTCCGTTCATGGATACCGGAAATCGTAAGCGACGTAATCTCGCCACCCCATCAATTTCATTTTCATTACCCCCGGCCAATCCAGCATCCAACCTCCGCGCCCCTTTTCAGCCGCGCGCTTTTACAGTCGCTTCAGCGTCGTCTGGTCTTTTTCCTTTTTCCGTTTTTCGCTTTTTCCCCTTTTTTACCGGCTCACTACCTCTCTCCGGGGTATTGTTGTTTTCCCCGGAAACGGCGAAAAATCGACGGAACCACTAATTGGTTCTGTCAATCCTGCAGAGGGGACTCGCACGTTGATGGGCTGTGTGGGGTGAAAAGGAGGGGGTGGTCAGGCTGGAAGAACGTTGAAACGACGAAGCATGGGTCACGTCGACCGGAAAGATTCGTTACGGGAACACAACGTTCCGGGAGAGCAACTTTCATTACAGTTGCGTGCTTTTTCTGGTCGGTTCGTTCGTTCGTTTTTCCTGCATTTTTCTTCCTTTTTCCTCCATTTCTCTCTATTTTTGCTCGTTTTATCATCGGTTTTTCTGCCTTTTTCAATAAGCGCGCGGCCCGCCGTGCTTGTTCACAATATTCCGACGCGTTTCGACGCTTCGACGCCGCGGCGTCGGCCGCCGTTCCGCGAAACGCGAAGCCCGGTTTCCACTCGCTGAAACGTGCAATCGGAGAACGATCAGCCGACGACTAAACCGCGACTTGTTTTTGTCCCGGGCCCGTCCGTTCCCTGCGCCCTGTGCTCGCGAATTCAGCCACTCGCCTTTGTTACCGAAATCCCAACTTTTATTTACCCGCCATGATAGCCGGCGCGGCGATGTTCGAGTTCGATGCTTTTTCTTTCTATCGCCTAACTCCTTTGTCTTTTTTCCTTCCCTGCTGACCATTTTTACCAGGGGGACCAGACGTTTCCGTTACGAGCAATTTGCGCCTCGATGCAACTACGAATTCTTGGAAAAAGGCACAGAGAGAGAGAGAGAGAGAGAGCGAGGAAATTGCGATTTTAAATAGAAAAAATTGGTATCGTCGAATTATCGTGGAACTCGTGGAAGAACAAGAGTAATTTTGCTAAAATTAACGACGATTCTTATTGAAGTGGAATAAAAGTATATTTGTTTTGATAGGACGACGTTAATTATTTCGATATTTCGCTGTCAAGGAAGACGAGGAATATCAGAGGATATTAATATGTAACTTGGATTTTATTGTATAGCGCTAAATGATGCCATGTACAACGCCGCTTCCGGCGTCAGGATCTTCCGCTTCGACGAACTCGCCGAAGCGCGGAAGTTCGCGCGGAATTCCGATTGAGCGAATTCCGCTCATGGCGTACGTATTAAATTCGTCGCTAATTACACGACACGCAACGTATAATTTTCGATTTATCGATTTACAATCCTTTTTTTTATTGTTACTTTTATTTAGTTCTGATATTAATTAGAAATTAATTAGAAAATAGAATTCTTATGTTATTCGTATTAAATCGTCGTTAATTCGTAGATACACTGTAAAGTCTTTTGATTTCTACTCTGTGTCTGCCTAACAACCGCCGTAACGAGCTTTTGGTAATGAAAATGGAAGAAAAAGCGTCAAGACTGTAACGCGAAATTCAGAAACATTGCAAATCGACGGAACTCTGAGTCTTTCTCTCGCCAGAGGAAACGCGATTCCATATATTTGCAAGATTTCATTGCGTCCACTGACCTTCTCGTCGACAACGCGACTATAATCCTGCACGTCTCGCATCCCAGAAAACGTAGCACGCAAGCTCCACCTCATCTACCAACCAGGGTACTCGACATCCGAACACATTCTCCCTTACATTAACGACATACGACTTATCACCCCTCTAGCATCGACGTTAAAAACTTACGAGTCCTTAATTAATTTCTAAATTAAAAAAGCAAGTAGTATTATCTACAAGAACGAAGACAACGCGAACAATAGTAGGCCGCAGGCTAAAATAATCATCCTCTCTCTCTCGATCCATCCAATCGTCAGTTCTTATCCAGCAAGGAAAACCATTCTCATCATTTCTGCTTACCACGAAGATATTCTACGAACAAGTAGAACGCGCAAGCTCCACGGTAGCAAAAATAAGACGCACTTCCTCTAAGAAACTCGCGATTCGAGATTAAAATCCAAGCACAGGATCCAGTTTCACAGGAACATCTGTGAAACCATCTAATCGACGTGTTCATCGTCCCGCTATGATCCCTGTGCTCCAAGATCCATCCCTGTGATCCATCGACCCGTCAGACACGTCTGCGACACGTTGGTCCACGCGAGGCGCACACGTACACGCGCTCACACACGAGTAACAAGTCACTTTCCCATTTTGTTCCGGGCTCCCCGTCGTTGAAACGGAGGTGAATCGACGAGGAGGCAATAGCAGGCAGGATGACTCGATAGACAAGCCCATGTATCGTGAATGGAATCGCGTGGATCGATGACTTTCGGATCCGTTTTTCGTCAATCCGCTCGATCGATCGATCGATCGATCACTGCACCTCGCAAACGAAGAACGTCTCGAAGCTGCACGGGCTGTCGTTCCACTTCAACCCCTTGCCATCCCTGTTCCACAGCTCCAGGCAGTGCTCTTCCTCGCCGTTCTCGTATCTGCAGACCAAACGCAACGAATTTACCGTGTTTCCTTCGTGCTCCTGCTCTTATTAAAAGCTTCCTCGTGCGCGGGTCTTGCTACCCCGCTGCAGCAAGATCGAGGTTAGCTTTTCGAGCGGCGAAAAGCCGCAGCTTCTTGTTACGCCTGCGACCAACCAGCGAAATTATACTTTCTATTCGCCTCGGAGAAAATTTACCTACCGATAGAAAAATCGAGAACGGAGAAGATCCGATATCCACGGTGTCGATATTTCTCGCCCTTCTATCGGCTGCTTTTAATCGACCCTTCTTCGCTTTCTTTGAAAATATACTTTGCTTCCGCATACTTGGTCTTAATGGTAATTTCCGTGCCGAACGAGCAATTATAATATACCAAAAAAGCATAATTTATACCCGTACTTTACAGCCACTAATGATGCCTCTCAAAGGCAGTACTCGTGATGCGAAGTTGTAGCACGCGAGTAATAATATGCTCAAGGTCGTCCGTGTTTTTCAAGTAATACTTAAAGGTATTGGAAAGCGAGTGGAAAGGATACCTGAAATTATTCGGCTCGCCGACGTTCCAGTTTTCGAACGTGATTGGCCTGCCGTTCGCCATCCAGAAGAAAGTGCCTTCCTCGGCCTGGTCGGTGCCAGAGGTCCAAAAGTGCTCGTGTCCAAGGCCAAAGTCTTTAATATGCTTCTCCAGCCTGTCGTTTTCCTCCTGCGACGCTATACTCGCCAGATGCATCCCGTGATATCGGCAATACTGCGACGCCCTGTACCAGTTCGCCTGCAACAAAATGGCCGAACGAATGAAATCTCGCTTAAGCTGCATTAAACGCGAATCTCTGATTCATCGTTTCCCGTTCTCTTTTCCCCTTTATCCCCCGTTATTTTTCCTTTAATCGCTTTCATCGTACTTCCATCGTTGACCAGAAACCAACGATGGATTCATATTTATTTATAAATATATGTGCAGGCTGTTGCGCTTTCACCTCGCCTTCGGGTTCACCTCGCGGACATTTATTAATAAAATACGAGAAGGTAGATATTTTCTAATTTATTCGGTGACGGGGTACACCGAGATTCTCGTTATTGAGAATTCGTTTCGTTCGGGCTGAATAATGGAACGAAATATGGAGAAATCGGTCGATAGGCGGTGACGCAATTAGAAGGACGGTAAATGTCAGCTTTGAGGCGGCAATGCGAGCGAACAATCGATTCGAATGCTAATTAAACAATGTTATAATGACGCGGGATTTAAGGTAATTTGATGTAATTAAAAGGGACATTGTATCGAACTTTGACGTTAATTATTTGTTAAATTACGGGATGCGTTGCAATGATAAATTCATGTGTTTATAAACATACAGTCGAGTTGATATTGTGTACCTTATCAGTACGGTAATGCCTCGTGTCCCTGTCGTTAAATTAATTGCCATTGTCTTAACACCAGGACTACCGATCTTTAATGGGCAACCTAAACCTAGTTGAGCATAGATAATAGTAATTTCAGTAGTACGATGAAGGTAAGTAAACACACTAATTACCTCTCGATATAAATGGACATTTTTTTAAAGACAGGTATATATTTTTAGTAATTGGAAGAAGAAAAATTCCGAGACCAGTCTTTTTGACTGGATTGGCAAGTAGTTCTAGTGTTAAATTCCGAATATCTGTCAACAATCTGGTGGTAATGGTTGTCATTGAATGTGTGGTATGAGTGCGAGGAATGTTTGCGTGGAAGAATGCGTGTATGACGAGTTTGACAGAGAGTCGCGAGAAAACAATCAGTAGCTGAATGACAGTCATTACATATAGACGTTGTGTTTGAGAGAGTCCTCGAGAGATTACATCGCAGTTAGAAGCGAATTTATTTTACGAGATTTAGTTATAATTTATGTTGCGCTGTTATTGTGTTAAATAATTAGTTTCTTATTAGTTTATCCATTTACTTACAGATCTCTCGTAACCCATTTCGTTTATCCTTATTAACCCTTTACACTCGACGACTTTTGGCTAGAGATGAGTAGAAATTCAAAGATTCTTTACTAAAGAACAGACGATACCTTTTTGAGCAGTAAATAAAGAATTGCATGATAATAGAATTGTAGAATTATTTGATTTCGATACCTCGTACATTGTCACATTGCATTAAATTTGATATGTTAATTAATATCGATCTTCCAAATTTTTTGAAATGGTGACCGAAGCTCACCTCTCGAGTGCAAAGGGTTAAATTGCTACCAAATCGATAAGATAGTTTCGAATCAAGCCAGTTTTTCATCAGAAATGTTTTCGTGAAGTGGTTTTCAGACTCCACGAGAAGTATCATTTTGTCGATTCTAAGAGTATTCTTCTGGCTGTTAGGACGACATACGTTGTCGTCGATATTTTTCGGCGACAAGCATGCCAAAGATACGTCGTGTCATAAATTCGCGAGCAACGCCACGACCTGGCCGAATGCGATTTTCGTGTCGATGCGGAGGAATGTTTTGCCGAGGTCGCCGGACCCGGGAACCGCTCCAACACGTTTCACCTTCGGCTCCACGAAGGGAAACCGGAAAAGAGGTGGATGGAGGACGGGAAAAATCGGGTTTAACGCGGCCGGAATGCAAATAAAGCGCGATAAATAGAGCGTAACCTTCGTACCCCATCGAGGAAAAACTACCCTGCTTCTGTCATTCACGATATCCTATCTTTCCCACATCCTACTTCGTCTCTCATTTTTCCACGGTATTTTTCCACGCTTCATTTCCGGCAAGTTTTGTTTCTTCGAAAGAGTTAATAGATTTCACGACACTTTCTTCCTTCTCGTTCTTCATCCAAGAAGATTCCATTTTATTTCGATTTTCAACTTCATTCGTGTTAGAGTTTCGTCTCGAATGAAATATCTATTGTTTTCACGCAGTCTCTTTCTCGAACATAACAAAACCATACAGCAGAATTGGTGATATATATGCCAACCGCGTGTCTCGCATGGGAACGATTCGGAAGCAAGTACGTATCGCGGAGAAATCGTCATAACACATAACCATGATTCAGAATTTTCTCGTTTCCGCGGGAAAAATGAGTTCGAAATAATCGAGCATCCGCTTGGTCCGTGCTCCGATACCATAATCGAATTTGCTGGAAATTACCGTTCCCGGTCGACGTGGATGAAAATGCGGGTTCTTTATGGGAGGATAGGGCAGCGCAGACACTCGTTCTGTCCAGCAAATTACCCATGGCAATCGATGAACGTGAAAAGAATTATTCGCGATCGCGTATACCGAGCCAGCGTGTTTTCCCTCGTAATTACCCTTTTACTTTGTCCACGGTAAAAAGAACCAACGTGCGTTTAAGTCTATTTGAATGTTCGATCGTGACTCCCCCCAACCGTTCCTCCTTGTTCTCCTTCCGCCTCTCCCGCTAATTCCGAACCCGCTTCCGCTATTTGTCGAAACATCGTAAATACGCGCAGGGCAGAACGGGAAATGACTATCGGCCGAAAATGCGTTTATGGGAATTCATTAATTACGAAACCGTGAATAATAAGGGTGGAATAAAACATGGCGGAATTCTGTAGCGTACGACAATTCTACGTGAATTATTAATCTCACGATGTCCATGTTCTCTTAGAAATGTAAATTAAATATATTTCCTTTGTTGTAATATTTTATTCGCTATTATACGGAAAATGAACGATACCTGAATCGGTGTTACGCGTGTCGAGCTCGACGTTGCGGATTCGACTGACCGGTCGAAGCGTCGCGTCGTTTCGACCGTCGCCGTCTCTGTTTATTTTTCCTGGTAGACTGCGCGTGTTGGAACAAGTATTCCGTAATTTTGTCCGAGAATTTTACGGAAGCCTGGTTAATTTTTCAGACACTCGAGATAGAATTAAATATAAATTTCCTCCCTTGTTATCATTTTCTCCAGAGCGGAGAAGAAAGCAAGAAAATTTGCAGGAAATTAAAACTTCCTTTCCCATCAAGGACTGCATTCGTAAATATCGAATTTGTTTCGAACGAACGGGATCACGCAGCTACTTTCTCATCTCGAGTAATTAAAAGATGAAAAAATTCCGAGGCCGGTAATTTTTCCGACTCGTTAGTCAAAGGTTAAAGCGCGCTACACGCGAAAGAGATAATACATTCCGTAGAAATATATCGCCGAATTTTAGCTCGAATTCTCGGCTAACCCCGCGTTGCGTTTAATTTTTACGGAAGAACGGTCCTTTTATTTCCTCCTTGGTATTACTCACCTTGCCGCGATGGAATCGCGCGCAGCGGAGAGAAGGGCCGCGCGAGTGGCGCGCTTCGACGCGAAAGTACGGGCTCGAAAAGGCGAGCGTAAAACCGCATAAATTTTGCTAGGCTGCTCCATTACGGCTGGCAAATGACCGCGCAACAAGCGTTCTCGTATTTTACGCGCGATACGGGAAGCGCAAAGAAACGCGGGCCCGCGACATTTGCATGTTCCGTTGCCATTGAAATATTTCTAATATTACGCGTGTCCCGTTCACGTCTGGCGAAATAACTGACCAACAGTTCCGCACGGCGAAAGACCACCGCTACTTTGTCCAACACGCCCGCACAGACTCGTAAAAGCGGAGAGAGAAATACGCGTCCGCCGTCGCGAATAATTTAACAAAGAGCGGATTAGCAAAGTCGCGAAACATCGTGGACGGGAATTTTTCCACGATATCTCGCCCCGGAAGCGACATCGCGAGTATTCGAGTTGGTAAAACGAGTAGAGTCTCGATGAAGAGACGAAACTGCGAATCTCGATAAGATCGGACTTGGAAACGAGCTCCGATAACTCGCACTGACCAAACACGGAATGGTATCCGACAGGTAAAACGTTGAAATAATATCTGTCAGCGTATTTTGAGCGACGCGACGGTGTAACCGAAGATTTAGCGGACCAAGAGCGAACAAACGCCATCATGGAGCGATTGTTTGCTGGCGAAACAAAAGGTATCCGGATCCAGAAGGACGTTCGTCTCTGTTAATCCGATTACGGGGAGGATCGGGCGGCGTTCCTTAACGCCGGTTGCGAAACACCGCCATTTATCGCCGGAGGAACGCTTTACGTCACTTCCACCCACCGTTCCAGAGAGATCGTTGCAAGGCCGCGGACCGGACACGCCATTGCAGTTGCAAAATCCGTCTTAATAATGCGGTTCCGTTTGCGTGCGAGCCAAGGAAAGTGGGTGACTCGACCTGTGGGGCAACGCCGGCCGAACAGAGAGAGTTGTCCGATCGAGTCGATCCATCTGACCGACTGGATCGCCATTTTCGGCCGCTCAACGATTTCGAACACCGGTTGCGAGAGCTCTCGGCGATCTTGCTTTCTAGGGAATTCGCGGTCGCGAGCTGGCAACTCTATAGGGGGTCTAGGTTAGAGGGAAAGGCGCGACCAAGTGGGTGACGCGGTTTAAACTAGACACGAATACGTAATAAATGGGTTAATGGCACTTGGAGGCATCGATCGTCCCCGAGACGAGGCGGTTCCTGTTTCAAGGCGCCGGAATGGAGGTGAAATTCTGTGTCAGCCAGCGGGAAGGGTCGTCGAGTTTCGGAGGTGCAGTCGAATCGAGTTAACGCGAGATTGCCGACGCGAAGTGATCGCGATGCAAAAATATCGAAAATATCGAAAGTAGCGCATGAAAGCGTGAAATAACTTTGATATTTCTCGGACGAAGAATCGGGTCTTAGTCTCACGCACAGATTCGTCGCCATCCCTAAAATTTTCTGACAAATTCGCCCGAAGTATATCAGCGATCGTTAACTGGAAATAATTGCCCTGATAGATCCCGAATGCTCGTATTCTAAAAATACAAACATCTTTCACCACTTTGAAAACCCCGTTTCTTCCCTTGCTCGGTCGCCTTACGCCTATCAACCCGTCCTCTGCCACGAGCCAACGGAGAGTTCTCTTCCGTCTACGCGATCTACTTGACAGAGGATCATTACGAATCCTCGGGGACAGTGATCAACGAGATCGCTTTCCCGCGTTCTTTACCGAGCGATATAAAGCATACACGGAGAGAGATGATCGCGTTCAGGTGAACAGATCGATAACAGGCCGGGCTGGCATTCGATGCACCGTGAAGCGTGAGTGAGACGGCAAGCGGGGAGGTTACGGGCACGGAAATAATTCGATAATGTCCGGCAGGCCGCGTCCGCCGAGCAGCTAGATAAATCAAAGTGACTGGCAGCCGTGATACCTTGAAGAAGATCCCCAGGTAGTATCTCTTCTCGCCGAGCTTCAGCAGAGGCATCGTCCATCTTGACGCTGCTAGGCTGCTACTGTGCTCGTCCACGCAGTTTGGACAGTCGTCTGCGAAAACAATGGAAACGTAAGCGTGAATCTGTTAGAGGTAAATCCCTGGGAAACAGAAGGTCTTTATTATTTCGCGGCACGTGTAGCTCGCGCGATGAATAAGGGACGAAGCTGCTCGAGGATTCGAGGGAACAAAATGGCGTTGGAGATGAAGGGAAGATCGAGCGTTCGACGCGTTTGTTTCGTCTGTTATGCGCGCAGTTCTCTACCCCGAGCATTTTCCGCTAATTTATTTACGGTTTAGTCGTTTAATTATTCAAACGCGGAAATATTGCGACTTAGGTGGAATCGTATTATGCTAACGGAGGAATATCGAAGCTCTCGGTAGAGCTAGCTACTCCAACTAATTTACATTTAGTACTCTTCATTCCGAAGAACTGAAACCGAAGTCAAGATCGAAGACGAACTTGGATCAGACTCCTGCCACGATCGTAACTCGATATTCCAAGAAAGACTCGTCATCTATCCCAACGTCATCTACCATAGATCATAATTTCCTCGAATGTACGATAATTTCACCTACGCCTCTCTACCGACTAATCTCTTCGAATTATGACACTTTAGAACTCGGAGACGAATTATTTTCCCTCGCATCGTCGATTAATAATCGCGCTTACCGATATCAATTTCTCCCGTTTCTCTTAATCCGCGTAACGCGTCTACTCGGCGAAGAGCGCAGCGGGAGAACGCGATTACGCGCTCGCGAGGATCGGAGCGGGTGGTTGCGCAACGCGCGGAAGAGCCGACGCTGTCGCGCCGCGACGCGTAACGACGCGGATCGAGGAAAAGCGGAGACGAGTGAAAATTCCGTTATTAAAGGCGCGATCGCCTGGCCCGCTGCTTTTGGCCGTACTTTAACGAACCATTATATCGCGGCATAATTCTCGCCAAGGGCGAAAGTTTTAATGTTCCCGGCGATAAAACACGCCTATGGAAATGAGGAACTTAACGGGAACTTCGGGATTATATAGACTGTAAAATGAACGTGATTCCGACCGCCGAGGATCACCGCGTAAATAATATCGCCTTCATCACGACCCCCTGAGTCTAGCTATGTCGGAAGAATAATCATCGCGAATGTGAGATTCGAGTAATAAAATTTTATTAATCCCCGAGTCGTGGATTCTTTAACTTTGTTTCTCCTTATTTACTTATATTCGACAGCCGGTTTTGTATCAATTTCAGGACCAACGCCGCCCTCTTCGGAGAACAATGAGTATTCTTGGCTTCTTTAATGGTCGGGAGGAACATAAAGTCGCGCGCAAAGATCCCGAAGAATATAAAGAGGTTGTTTATTTTGGTTCGCCGTCACTTCGAGAGAAACCGGTTTTAAGGGAGTCCCGTTAGCAAAAGAGCGAACTTTTTAATTAGCACGAAGAAGCGAAGTTAATTAGCCAAGGTAGTCAGGGATAAGATACAAGGAAAGACGACGAATGTGAGTACCTTTTTATGAAGCATCGTCGGAATTTAAAATTGTGTCACAGTCAAAGGGACAGCAACAATTGCACGACGGAATGATTCGGTTACAAAGGGAAACAGAAACGAGAAGATTCGAATAGGTACAAGAGAGACGTTGCTTTGCGTAATCCAACGTCACCAATTTTCGGTGGCAGGTGTAATCGATCACGGGAAATTTCTCTCCGATCGCTTACTATACCCCGAGTCCGATTTCGTGACGTAATGTTGTTTTATTGACGTTTAACGTTATGTAAATAACGAGACTTCGCTGGGATTTCTCGTGCACTTGCAACGAGACCATATATCAAAGCTGTTACGAAAACATTTGCACGAAAGACCGTCTGTTTTTGCTAATAAAAAACAGGAGAATGCGGCCTTCGTATTACGCTGCAAATCCAAACATAAAGACGTGAAAGTACGAATCGTTCGAACGCATTTAATTCGATAAACGATACAGGAGAATAACGCAGACACTGCGATTCTTGTGCAACTATGTCGAAGACAATGAAATAACGACAACAAAGACACGACTCCATTTTATCCACCAAGAGACAACTGAAATTATCCAAGATTGTACTAATTATCTATCAAATAAAATGATTATTCTTCAAATAAAAATTCATCGTTAAACCGCGAGATACAAGGAAATATCGGAGGGGTCTGAAAGGAAAGGGGTCTCGGGTCAGGCCCAAGGAACAGCAACTTCGCGTGTCACGAGGCTATGAACGAAAAATCCAATTTCCGAAACACGGTCACGAGTATCCATCGACCTAACGAATTCGCCGTGGACGTTTCCAAATTCCCGAGGCAGGGGGCGGACCCGTCCCGTAAGACAATTTCTCAACGAAAGGGGGCCATGCATTTTAACAAGGTCCCGCTCGATTCCGCCGCCGGTGTACACGATCGGGCCGCTCATTAACCTTTCAATTATCCTCTATCCGGTCGCCGTCGCGATTAATCCAGCCGGGAGAACTTGCATGGAAATCCCGAAATTCTCCTAGGCTGGTGGTCCGAGACCAGGGACAGGGGGCGCGTTCGAGTAATCGAGCGGGATAATGGAAGAAGATCGGACGACGGGAAAGTCGCCAGCCAGGAACCCTGCCTGGAGCTTGTCCTCGGCGTTTCTTGCCGCGAAGAAAAGGCACACAGCGACGACAGTGACCGAGAAAAACCCCTTCTCGGTTTCGTCGCCGGGGCTAATTAGGCCGGGCGTTCTGCATATTTTAATAATCGCTCGGTTAATCGTCGCCTCGCGTCGTGATCCACGGCGTCCCCGAATACGTCTCCTGGCATTAATATTCAACGGATCTCTTAATAGACACCGGCCATCTTTCGCTCCCCGTCCATCCTCCTCCTTTTTCGTTCGCGCGAGAACGCTCCTCCGGGGACTCGTCGATCGGGGGAGTTTCCGTGAAAATATGTAGCGAGATTGGTAAGGGAGAGGAAGGCTATTAGAGAGACAGTTTTTGAGGCCAGGTCGGGGGGCGAGGCTCGTTAACGGTTGCTTCTTAAACCGGTTTCCTAGGCAGTCCGTTGCTCGGCCAAAGCTATTAGATTTCATTGAACGCCATCGGCCATTGTTTCGCGATGCAATGGTCAGCTTCGACGCTGGGCTTGGCCTAGGTTTCGCGATGCAGCCTCGGATCGTTTCGGGGTGGCCCTGGATCCTTGGCCGCACTCGAGATTTCATTTAGCCGGATGCTTGGGTCCGGAGTCTCGTGGACTATTTCTCCAAAGGAATTTAAACACGTTTTAACGAATTGGTAGAAATCGAGGTAAAGATTCTACGGAGACAATTTTATAAACGAATTTAAATTTAAATCCGAATTTCATGCAAATTCTGTGTATCGACTTTCGCTGGTAGAAGGTCCAGCTATTTTGATTCTTTTTCTACGATTTTGACCGACGATGCCGAGTATAGAGTACTAGATCTAGACACGCGTGGTGGGTGGAAGAAGCGTGAAGAATAAAGAAATACGTGGGTGGGTTTTTTTAAGGCGTCTTAGAAAATTAATACGGACCTTGGAATAGCTCGTACGATAATCCGTGAAGAAGTCGTGGCCACGACTAGCGTGGCCAATACGCGATTCGCCTCTTCGATATAAAGCGATGTACGTGACGTGAAACGAGCTCGCGACCCTCTCCGCTTTTGCCATCTTTCCTGTCGACGCATAATAGAGCCGAGACTTCGATCGGCGGAGATACTGGCAGTGTGTTACGCGAAGGAAAAATACCGTCGCGAGGCGACGCAACGGGAAAGCGAGGAAAAGTGAGAGGAGGCAAGGATGATTGCGCGAAGATTCAGGAAGATCGACTTCGTGGAAAAGGAAAGTGCTCGAGGGAAGTGAGCGAGTGTACTGAAATTTTTATTACACGAACATGCCGATAGCATCTCCATTACGTAAATATAATGATATGCAATTGCAATATCAACCCGCGATATCGAATTTTTTCAAATTCCTTTCGCGCACGTCGCTTTAATGGCGGATCTAGCGAGAGGCGGCAGGGACGGCCCCAGAAAAGGGAATTTTAGAAAATAATTTAACAAGATGTATATATATTTTACATATACAATCTCTGCTTTTCAGGAGTTGTTCAAAAATGTATTATAAAGATACCTCGTTATACGGAGTTACCTATACTTAATCGAATTTAATTATTTAATTTTTATATCAGAGAGAAATATTGCAAAAGCAATTTTAAATCGGGAAAAGAGAGGTTAAAATACTTGCTAGAAAGCATTCCTGAATACGATCTAAAGAATACGATCATCAAATTATCCCGTTTCCAATTATTTCCGATGATGTACAGAAAATAATCGTGTTCCCCCATTAATAAAAATAAGCGACCTGCTCATCGAGAATTTTCATAGTCTTCAGGTATAATATACCTGGTATCGTAGAACAATTTTCTACATTTTTTTTTCTTCAAATTGCATTCCATCACGCAGTTTAAACAATCTTCACCTATCACGCAGCGCCATCTTCAATTTCGATCGAAAGCAGAAACTTAATCGAAAGTTGGTCCACTGCTTTGAACGCGTTGCAGAGTCCATCGGGGGTATGGGGGTCGATAATAATATCGCGGTGCTTGGAAACGAACCGCGATCTGCTCGCGAATCGATGCGCGTTTGGTATAATAAAAATTCCGCGGCGTAATTAACGGAGCACCATTGACAAATCGCGGGATTTCGTAGCCGGCCGGTCGCGTTGTTTCGCACAATACGGAATTCACAATGCACCCGGTCGAAATCCGTCGCGTGAATTTACAAATCCGCGGCCATTACGGAACTTAAAAGCGACCCCGACGTGTCCCGCGAATCGCGAACGCGAGATCCCCGAGAACAAAACGCGCCCTATCGATCACATCGATCACCGATCGAAGATACCCTTCCGCTCGCTGATGAAATGGTCACCGAATATCGGGATTGAAAATTTAACTCGCACGTATACGTGTTCCTGGCTATTCGCGAATTTTTATCGCCAAAGTTTTGACAGATGTAGGTATGTTTAAAATTCTTATGCAAATACTATGGAATT